GGATGTCATAGTAGTACAATTGCTAAGATGATGGAAGTGCACTAGCTTTTACAGGGTCTCTGACATTTGAGAGACAGAGAGAAAATAATAAAATTAAGGGATATGGAATTGGGTGACTACTGGTGAGTGCCTGCTGGTGCATTCTGGAGAGAAAATAACTCATCATCTATTAAAGGTAAGTGTGAAAGTCAGAGGTCTTCCTTGGCAGCCTTTAAAGAGATCCTTATCACCTGCAACTGAAAGGCCTACTGAGCTGCTGAATAGGCAAAGGACTTGATATTGAGAATAGCAGAACTTCAGAGAAAGCTGAATTCACAGCCTAGGTGACTCTGGATGCCATGTAAGACACACAAGCTTCAGAGAGGAGGAAAGATAAGCCATACAGAGATCCAGTGGCTTGTCACATCTGTGACCCTTTTAGGGAGTCAGTGGTCTGGGGCACCGGTCCAAGGTAAAGGGGAAATTATTTTACCTTGTGCATTCTACCATTAAATTAGAAGCAATGTGGAGCAAACATCACACTGCACTGAATGATTTAGCAAGTGATGTGGAAAGCTGCCAGGCTTCAGTAGGGACCCTGGGCAAGAAAGGCCATAGTACAAGTAGTCCTACCACTTGGATCATGTAACCCAGAAGATCCTATAATGGTGCATGAGTTATTTGTAGGAGATGAAGATATTCATGGAGTCTCTTGAAAGCCCCAACAGAAGAGTTTCAAACAGGCAACTATTTTGGAGCAAGAGCATGCCATCCGCTGCAGAGAACATCATTCAAAATGCAGCTGCTGGGGGCTTCCCTGGTGGCGCAATGGTTGAGAATCTGCCTGCCGATGCAGGGGACACGGGTTCGAGCCCTGGTCTGGGAAGTTCCCACATGCCGCGGAGCAACTAGGCCCGTGAGCCACGGCCGCTGAGCCTGCGCGTCTGGAGCCTGTGCTCCGCAACAAGAGAGGTCGCGATAGTGAGAGGCCCCCGCTCACCGCAACTAGAGAAAGCCCTCGCACAGAAACGAAGACCCAAAACAGCCAAAAATAAATAAATTTATTTAAAAAAAAATGCAGCTGCTGGAATGCTACTCGGCATGGTGTATTAGTTCAGGTTCTCTGGATAAACAGACCAATAATACACAAAATATATTTTATAAATACAGATAAAATTATATATATGTGTATTTATGATAGGACTTGGCCTTGATTATGGAGGGTAAGAAGTCCTCCAATCTGCCATCTGCAAGCTGGAGACCCAGAAAGCCTGGTAGTATAATTCAGTCCAATGCCAAAGACCAGAAAACTAGGAGCACCAATGTCTGAGGACAGAAGAAGACGGATATCTTAGCTCAGGCAGAAAGCAAATGTACCCTTCTTTTGCCTTTCTGTGCTATTTAGGCCCTAAGTGCTTTGGATGATGCCAACCTGCATTGGTGAGGGAGATCTTCTTTACTCAATTTACTGATTCAAATGCTAATTTCTTCAGAGACACCCTCACAGACACACACATAAATAATGTTTTACAGATATCTGGGCATCTCTTAGCCCAGTCAAGTTGACACATAAAATTAACCATCACAAGTCTGCCTTTTGTCAACTTGGCATCTAAACATATGTTTAATTTTAATTTTATTTTATATTTTTATCGAAGTGTAGTTTACTTAAATATTATATTAATTTCTGGTGTACATGGTGATCCAATGTTTTTTAGATTATACTCCATTTAAAGTTATTATAAAATATTGGCTATATTCTCTGTTCTGCACAATATACTTTATAGTTTATTTATTTTACACATGGTAGTTTGTACCTCCTAATCCCCTGCCCATAACTTGCCCCTCCCTCTTTCCCTTTCCCCACTGGTAACCACTACATTGTTCTCTATATCTGTGAGTCTGTTTCTCTTTTGTTATATTCATTCATATGCTTTATTTATTTTAGATATTACATATAAATGATACAGTATTTATCTTTCTCTATCTGACTTATTTCACTAAGCATAATACCCTCCAGGTCCATCCATGTTGTTGAAATTGGCAAAATTTCATTTTTTTGTGTGGGTAAGTAATATTCCATTTGTATATATATATTCCATTGTGATATATGTATATATACCACAACTTCTTTATCCATTCATCTGTTGATGGACCTTAGGTTGTTTCTATATCTTGGCTATTGCAAATAGTGCTGTTATGAACACATAACATAGTGCTGTTATGAGGTGCTTCGACTTAGTGTTTCTGTTTTCTTGGTGTACATACCCAGAAGTGGAATTGCCGGGTTATATGGTAGCTTTATTTTTAGTTTTACATTTTTTTATTTTTTTGCGGTATGCGGGCCTCTCACTGTTGTGGCCTCTCCCGTTGCGGAACACAGGCTCCGGACGCGCAGGCTCAGCGGCCATGGCTCACGGGACCAGCCACTCTGCAGCATGTGGGATCTTCCCAGACCGGGGCACGAACCCGTGTCCCCTGCATGGGCAGGCGGACTCTCAACCACTGCGCCACCAGGGAAGCCCCTTATTTTTAGTTTTTTGAGGAATCTCCATTCTGTTTTCCACAGTGACTGCACCAATATACATTCCCATCAACAGTGTACAAGGGTTTCCTTTTCTTCATATCCTCACCAACATTTGTAATTTGTAGTCTTTCTGATGAGAGTCATTCTGAAAAGTGTGATGTGATGTCTCACTGTGGTTTTGATTTGCATTTCTCTGATGATTAGCAACGTTGAGCATTTTTTCATGTTCATGTTGACCATCTGTATGTCTTCTTTGGAAAAAATGTCTTTTCAGGTATTTTTTCCCATTTTTAAATTGAGTTGTTTGTTTTTTTCATATTGAGTTGTATGAGCTGTTTATATATTTTGGATACTAACCCTTTATCAGTTATATCATTTGCAAATATTTTCTCCATTTAGTCGGTTTTCTTTTCATCTTGCTGATGATTTTCTTTGCTGTGCAAAAACTTTTAAGTTTAATTAGGTCCCATTTGTTTATTTTTCCTTTTTTTCGTTTGCCTTAGGAACAGATAAAAAAGAATTGCTATGATTTATATCAGTGTTCTGCCTATGTTTTCTTCTAGGAGTTTTATGACTTATAGTCTTACATTTAGATCTTTAATCCATTTTGATTTTACTTTTGTATGTGGTGTGAGAAAATATTCTAATTGCATTCTTTTACGTGTGGCTGTCCAGATTTCCCAGCACATCTTATTGAAGACACTGTCTTTTCCCATTGTATATTCTTGCCTCCTTTGCCATAGATTAATTGACCATAAGTGCATGTGTTTATTTCTGGGCTCTCTATTCTCTTCCATTGATCTATGTGTCTGTTTTTGTGCCAGTACCATACTGTTTTGATTACCGTAGATTTGCAGTATAGTCTGAAATCAGGGCGTATGATATCTTCAGCTTTGTTCTTTTTTTCTTAAGATGGCTTTGGCGATTTGGGGTCTTTTGTGGTTCCATATAAATTTTAGGATTATTTGTTCTAGTTCTGTGAAGTGTCATGGATATTTTGATAGGGATTGCATTAAATATGTAGTTTGCTTTGGGTAGTATGGACATTTTATCAGTATTAATTCTTCTAATCCAAGAGCACAGAATATCTTTCCATTTGTATCATCTTCAATTTCCTTCATCACTGTTTTATAGTATTCAGAGTATAGGTCTTTCACCTCCTTGGTTAAGTTTCTTTCTAGTTATTTTATTCTTTTTGATGCAATTTTAAACAGGATTGTTTTATTTCTTCTTTTTCTGGTAGTTCATTGTTAGTATATAGAAAAGCAACAGATTTGCATATATTAATTTTGTATCCTACAATTTTACTGAATTCATTTATTAGTTCTAATAGTTTTTTGGTGGAGACTTTAGGGTTTTCTATACAGAGTATTATGTTATCTGAAAATAGTGACAGTATTACTTCTTCCCTTCCATTTTGGATGCATTTTATTTCTTTTTCTTATCTAATTGCTGTGGCTAGGACTTTCAGTACTATGTTAATGGAAGTGACAAGAATGGGCATCCTTGTCTTGTTCCTGATTTTAGAGGAAAAGCACTCAGCCTTTCACTAACTGTATGATGTTAGCGGTGGATTTGTCATAAATGCCCTTTATTATGTTGAGATATGTTCTCTTTATACCCATTTTGACTAGAGTTTTTGTCATGAATGGATGTAGAATTTTATCAAATGATTTTTTTGCAACTATTGAAATGGTCATATAATTTTTATCCTTCCTTTTGATAACATGGTGTATGACTGATTGATTTGTGGATATTGAACCATCCTTGCATCCCTAATACATCCCACTTGATCATGGTATATGATCTTTTTTATATATTTTTGAATTCTATTTGCTAATTTTTCTGAGGATTTTTACATCTATATTCATTGGAGATATTGGTCTGTAATTTGCTCTTTTTTTTGTAGTGTCTTTGTCTGGTTTTGCTATCAGGGTAATGGTAGCTTTGTAGAATGAATTTGCAAGTATTCTGTCCTCTTCAATTTTTTAGAATAGTTTGACGTATTAGCTTTTCCTTATATGTTTGGTAGAATACACCTATGAAGCCATCAGGTTCTGACCTTTTGTTTGCTGAGAGTTTTTTTTTTTTATTCCAAATTCAATTTCACTACTACTGATCGGTCTGTTCTGATTGTCTCCTTCTTCCTGGTTCAGCCTTGGAAGATTGTATGTTTCTAGAAATTTATCCATTTCTTCTAGGTTGTCCAATTTATTGGTATATAACTTTTCATAGTCTCTTATGACTTTATGTGTCTCTTTAATATTGGCTGTTATTTCTACTTTTTCATTTCTTATTCTGTATATTTGCATCTGCTCTCTTTATTTCTTGATGAGCCTGGCTAAAAGTTTACCAATTTTGTTTATCTTTTCAAAAAACTAGATCTTGGTTTCACTGATCTTTTATATTGCTTCTTTTTGGGTCTGTATTTCACTTATTTTCTCTCTAATCTTTATTATTTCCTTCTTTCTTCCCTCAAGGTGTGCTACCAGCTATGACCTTGGTGGAATGTGGGGCTGGAGAGTCTACAGCCAGAACCAGGTAGGAGCTAGGACTTCTCTTCTGCTTAGTGTCAACACTACCTTATTGGGGGTGGGATTGGGTCCCAAGCTGCTGGAGTAGAAGCCATGAGGATCCGGTCTGAGCTGTTTCTGTTCCCACTAAGTGTGTTTTCTTTCAGCTTCCAGCACCAGCACCCTCATCCCAGAGGTGAGCAGTACTGGAGCAAGACAGGCCGGAGTGGACACCTGGTGTGGGCCAGTGTGTGCATTGCAGTGGTCCCAGCACACCAGTTAGAGTTCCAGACCAATCCTGATCTGCTGCCTTCATGTGCACCAGTAATGGTTGCCCTTGCCCCACTCAGATGCTGTGCTGAGTCCAAACCAGCTTTGTCTCCCTCAACTGCATTCTTTCCTCGGCTGTGGCAGCCTTTACCCTAGTGTGGAGCTGCACTGAGGAGCAAGAGAGTCTGGAGAGGGCTCTAGTCCTGGTCTGGGGTGCACGCTGGGATGGTTGCAGGAAACCAGCTAGAGTCCTGGGCAGTTTTAATCTGCTCTCCCCAGCCTGTTTCTGGAGTAATCAAGTGTGTGTGCACTCCTCATGAGTGGAGTCGAGGCTTCTTACAGTCCACACGTCAGTCCACTGGTTTTCAAACCAGATAAGGGGACTCAGGCTCTGGGTCTCTGACCTATGTGGTTCAAACTGCTCATTCCCCAGGCAGGATCTCTGAGCCTGTGTCATCCCCCTTCTCTTCTGTGTCCCCTACTAGGGGCAGAGGTCCTGACATGATCACTTTTCTTCCCTTCCTACCTGACTCCATGTGGATCTTTCTTACAGCCTTGGATGTGTAAAAGTCTTTCTGATAGTCTCCAGTTTGTTTCAGTGGGAATTGCTCCACATGTGGATGTATTTCTGATGTGTTCGTTGGAGGAGGTTAACTCTGCATCTTCCTACTCTGCCATCTTGGTCTCCTCCCCTATACATATCTTCTTAAACCATAATTAATCTCCAAATAAAGATAATAACAAAGTCATAATACCACCTTACGTGATACAACCATCCTGCATACAACTGAAAATACACTAATCTTTTCTCCAGAGGAGGAAGTAAAATCCTTGAGTGATGTTTACTCTTCTCCAGCTATCCCATAACTTAAATACTATGACTTAAAATTAACAATACTTAAATGCTGATAGAAAGTCAATAAATCTTATGTTATATGGTAAGGAAATATGATAGGAAAGAAAACAAGGCTATTTGCTTAATATATGTATAAATACACACAAGACTTATTCATAACAAATTAGGAGGAAATACTCATGGTGGTTATAGTCATTATTTCTGATGCTAGTCACATGGTCATAACTGGTATTTATAAATAACTTCTTCTGCTACCCATTCTGTATTTCCTCTGCCTTCAGCAAACACCTCAGCTGGTTATGGTTCTTTATGTGGCAGTGTGACCCAAACCTTCATTTCCAAAGGATCTGGTAGTTCTTCCTGGATTATGTTGTTGTGCTTTTCCATTGACCTTAATCACAGGCATGTTAATACTAAGAGATGCCCTAACGGATCTCCCGTATTTCAGACATATTTTTCCTTACCTCCGTTGTGGAGTAGTAGTCCAACTTCTCCTTGATAGTCAGGATCACAGGCAGAATAAATATCTGGCCAAGGAACATCAAGTAGCTGTGACACCAAAACTGCTCACTGCTGGTGGCTGTCAGACCCACCAAGTCATAAACTTTAGCAGCCCAAGCAGCAATTATTTATAAAAATGGAAGGATTACATCTTAGATCAGCCTTAAGCAGTTCCAAAGGGCATAAGTGAGCTGGAAAAATAAGTGTCTCAGACTTCCATGTCACCCAGCACAGTCTCAAAACATACCACTCACACAGCTCACAACTATGGTCTCATGGGATGATTCTTCGTGACCATCTTAGGAGAAGAAGAAAATAACCCAGACTTGGTCCGTGGATAGTTCAGCCTGGTGTTTTAGTTTGGGCCCCAAATGGGCTGCTGTTACAGTACAGCCCACTCAGAGGAAGCCTTGAAGGACAGTAGTGATGAGAAAATTCGAACAGTAGAGAGGGCTTTGGTCAGTATTATTCATCACCCAATTTTGTTGAGAGTATTCATCACCCAATTTTGTTGTGACTCAAAACAAAGATATACAGGAATGCATAGGCAGTGGTGAATGACTTGGTTAATTGGCTGGAGGCATGCAAGGAACAAAATTGGCAGTTTAGGGACAAAGATGTCTAAGCAAGTAGAATGTGGGTGGACATATGGGAATGGACACAAAATAAGAGGAACTTACCATATATTAACCAGGTATGGAGGATGACTGGTCCAATAGATTATAAACCAACTTCTATGCTTGCTGAATAGACTCATGAATGGAGTAGCCATGATGACAGAGATGGAGACTACCTCTGGACCGAATAGCATGGGCTCCCTTCTCACTGAAGTTGATCTAGCTAATGCCCCAGCTAAATGTCCATCCTATCCAGAAACAGATTCTAATGCTGAATCCCTGGTATGATACCATACTTTGATGAAACCAAACAGACACTTGATGGTAATTTGATAACACTGTGCCCCTCTTATCCTGACAAGGGCAATAATTTGTCTTGAGCAGAGTGACACATATTCCTAGTACGTGCTTACCTTTTTTCTTTAACAGCAGTATCTCAGTCAGCATAATATGCAAGGGCTCACAGAGTGATCTATAGAATAGGATTCCACATATTGTCTCCTCAGACCAAGAGATCCTTTTAATGGCAAAAGAAGCATGATGATGGGAACATGGCAAATAAATCCTCTGATGTTACCATATATTGAATCATTTGGAGGCTGCTGACCTGACAGAGCATGGAAATGCCCATTTAAGGTACATCTGCAATATCAGTTTGGAGATGATACCCCTTAATGGGGATACTATCCTTCAGAAAGCAGTACCTCTATCCTAAACCAATGGCCATATATGGTGCTATGTCCCGTACTATTCAATGAGTTCAGAAACCAAGTGATGGAGGAAGGTGTGACTTCACTTCACAGTCACTCCAGGGCCCGACTGAGAGAATTTGTGTTTTCCGTTTGCTCAACTTAAGGCCTTGTGGGCCTAGAGGTCCTATTTCCCAGAAGAGGGATGCTTTCACTCAAAGACACTGCAAAAGTCTCACTAAACTTAAGCCATGGCTGACAGCTGATAACTTAGAATTTTTCAAATTGACCAGCAAACAAAGAAAGGAGTTACCATACTGGCACACTTGTATACACTTGGGTATTTTAACCTGATGATCCTAAGGAGATATGGTTGTTGTTACTTAATAGGAGCATGGAGGAATATGTTTGGTACTTAGGTTAACTACAGGATATTTCTTGGTACGTCCATGCCTAACCTAATTATAAATGAACAAATACAGCAATCATTGCCTGGTAAAGGTATGGTAATGATGGTATCAAGCCTCTCAGCGATGAGATTCTGAATCATCTCACCAAACAAGCTACTGAGGCCATCTGAAGTTCTAGGTGAGAATAAGAGGAATTTAGAAGGAGAAGGAGAAGGAGATGATAAGTATCATTTAATAATTTAAAATCAATTGAAGTAAAGAAGGCTGCAATTCACCCTACTAATGCTTCTTTTACAAGTTTTTCCAGAAATTTAGACCAACCCAAGTTCTGAAGAAGCCGAGAACAGATGGGAAGAGCTTAGGCTGGGCTGCTGCGCCCATCCCCCAATGGCTGCAGGTCTTGGCTGGTAACTGCTCAAACTGGCATATTTCTCTGGAGGATCGCCCTAGGCTGATTGAAGCTGTTACACCCAAAGATTTCTGAGAAGTTAAACTATCTCCTCTCCCGGGGTCAGACAGTCCCCAGTGACTGTCTAATGCACAGATAAGAAAGTGAAGCCCTTCTTTCTCTGGGCAAGAAAACCTCTAGCTACAATCTGTGTTCTGAAGTGTCCTATGGGATTAGATTGAATGTAAACCTCTCCTGAAATCACATTTTTGCTTAATTTCATCTTTTGCCTTTTCTCACTCTCCTTACTCCCTTATAGATTTCACCTCAGAACTTCCTCAAAGATCACTTGCACAAGACTACCTGTCTTATGCTCTACTTCTAGGTTACCTGATCCAAATCAATTGGGTGAGGCAATAACTGCTTTCCTCAACCTAGGGCCACAATCTCATCTGAAGGTCATTTCCTGTAGCTACAGATCTCTTGCCTGGTTTTGGTAAAGGCCCTCTCCCTTTTCCCTTTTAGAATGCCTTGTGGTAGTGTCTTTCTCTTGTTGAGAGTCCTGAGGTCTTTACCATTCCTTTGACCTTGCTCATATCTTTGAAAACAGTCCCTTCATTTAAATCTTCTCCATTGCCCCATTTGTGTGTGACACTGATTTCCCATCACAGTCCTGACTAATAAAGTAGGGACAAGCAGGGAGTGATCTGATCAGATTAACATTTAGAAAGATCAATTTGGCAGCAGTGTAGAAGAGAGTATAAGAAAGGCAAGTCTAACTGCAGAGAGATTATTTAGTGGGTTATTGTAATAATCTAGAAAATAATTGAAAATGTTTAAGTGTCAATATCCATGGAGATAGCATATTGGGGGTAAATTTGAGAGATAAGTAAGCAGTAAAATTTAAGGATTAAAATATCCTAACATCCTGAGATAAATAAAATTACGTACGATGTCTTATGAATTCATTAAACAATGATTGTGTTACTACTTCAAATACATTTACTCTTACCCTGTAAGACTTGTGGTCTTAATGGAGACTCATTCCTATTTTGGTAGTTATTATAAAAGGCAAAACAAAGTAAATGTTATACTAGAGTTATAAGCAAAAGACTTTGAAGGCACAAAATAAGGAATAGCCATCACTCTAAAGTTATAAAGTACAGAATTGCTTAATTTCCTTAACTAAATATATGTCTTCAAAGAAATTGCTGCATTACCCAAACATCTCTGATTAGTTTCTTAAAGTCTTCAAAACGCCATACGTGGGTTTTTAGGCATTCACTTCCCAGGGGCAATATTTAATTACCTTAATCATATTCACTGCTACTATTAAAAGAATTACAAAGACATGCCTATTAAATATTATTTAAACTGTCATTAGCATTTGATGAGTTTAATGCGCATATAAATTGCTAACTCTAAATTTTCATATAAGTATAGTGGAGTAATGACTAATGTCTATAATATGTATATAGACTTCATAATTAAACATGCTAGATACTTTATTGCTTATCATATATAATATATATGTGAAAATATATTAATATAATATATTAAAATTGTGTATGATTATATAATTTTAGCCCAAATTTTTATTCTGGCAAAGCATTCAGAATTGAATAACTAAATTACCCCTTTCTCCTCCAGACACAAACAAAAATGTGAAAATGTAGAAAATACAGTAAATCCCCTACATATGAACACGTTCCATTCCAAGAGGGCATTCATAAGTCCAATTTGTTAGTGGGTCCAACAAATTTAGCCTAGGTACCCAACTAAAAAATTGGCTAGATATTACTGTATTATAATAGGTTTATAATACTTTTCACACAAATAAAAAAACACACAAAATAATGAAAACACTTTTAATCTTACAATACAGTACCTTGAAAAGTACAGTAGTACAGCACGACAGCTGGCATACAGGGGCTGGCATCGAGTGAACAGGCCAGAAGAGCTACTGACTGGAGGAGGGAGAGGAGGTGGGAGATGGTAGAGCTGAACGACCATCAGCAATAGGAGATGGAGGGCAAGCTGCAAATTCACTCACGCCTGACGTTGATGGCACAGGTTCTGGTTCCTTGCTGGATTCAATTCTATCTTCCCTCTTGAAAACATGATCCAGTGATATCTTCTGGGTATTAGCTCTTTTTTTCTCATCATAGATGACACAGTAGCACTGGATTGCATTCTGAATGGCTGCTGCAACCTTCATGTACCATTTTATGTTCAGGTCCTGTGCCTCAAAAACTAACAGTGCCTCCTCAGATAAAAACAATCCCCTTGCCATTTCCTGCATTGTGAATCTCTTCAGTTCTTCAGTTACTTCTTCTTCCTCTTGTCTCTCTTCATCCTTTCTCTGGGCCTCCAATTCCATCAGGCCTTCATTAGTAAGCTCCTCATGTTGCACAGCAAGGAGTTCAGTGAAATAGTCCTCTTGCAGATCTAGCTCCAGTTTCTCACTGAGGGTCACTAAGTTGCTGAAGACCTCTTTGGACTCCTCATCCACCTTCTCAAATCCATGAAAACCGTGAATAAACTGCAAGCAAAGCTTCTTCCAAACTCCGTTCATGGCGATGGCTGTAACCTCATGCCAAGCAAAGTCAATGTTTTTTATGGCTTTGTAGATGTTATAGTCCTTCCAAAATTGTCACAAAGTTGTTCCCAATTCATCACTCACCTTTGATGCCTGACAAGAAATGTGATGTAAATAATATTTCTTGAAAGTTGCTATAACTCCCTGGTCCGTAATTTGGATAAGCAACATAGTATTTGGTGGCAGATGCACTACTTTGATGTTGGGATGAAAGTTGTCCGTGAATGGGGGTGGCCTGGAGCATTGTCGAGCAGCAAAAGAATGTTGAATGGGATGTTCTTCTCCAAGCAATATTTCTCCACCTCCTGGAAAAAGTGGTGGAAAAACCAGTCCTGGAAAACGGCCTGTGTAACCCAGACTTTGGGGTTACTCTTCCATACAACTGGGAGAGAGCCCTTGGCTATGTTTTGAAGGGCTCTTGGGTTCTCTGAATGATAATCTAAGATGGGGCTTCAGCTTCATATCACTGGAAACATTGCCACCAAACAACAGTTAGCCTATCCTTTGCTGCTTTATAGCCTGGCATCAACTTTTCCTCCTTACTGGTGTAACTTTGGTCTGACATCCTCTTCCAGTACAGTCCTGCCTCATCTACATTAAAAATCTGCTCGGGTAAATATGTGCCTTCATCAATAATTTCTCAGAGCACGCTGCGGGGGCTGCCCCAGCTGCCGCCGACCCTGCCACATCTCTGTCTATGGTTTCTCCCTAGAGCTTTGCCTTTGGGGGTAGCTGCTGTGGCTCTGTCCGCCCCACGCCTTAGCGACTTGGAGGAATTCGACTCTGAAGATTTCTCCACCTCGGAGGAGGACGAGGACTACGTGTCATCGGGTGGAGAGTATAGTGAAGATGATGTAAATGATTTAGTGAAGGAAGATGAAGTGGATGGTGAAGAGAAGACACAGAAAACCAAAGGGAGAAAAAGAAAGGCTCAGAGCATTCTGGCCAGGAAGAGAAAACAAGGTAGCCTCTCATTAGAAAAGGACAAGAAGGATGCCAGCGAGGAATCTGGAGGAAGTAGTAGTGAGGAGGAAGATGTAGCTGCAGAGCAAGAAAAAGGCATTGAGTCAGAGGATACGAGGAAAAAGAAGGAAGATGAACTATGGGCCAGCTTCCTCAATGACGTAGGACTAAAATCAAAAGTGCCTCCGTGTACACAAGTTAAAAGAGGAGAGGAGGCTGAAGAGACAAGTTCAAGTAAATTGTTGGTCAAAGCAGAAGAGCTAGAGAAACCTAAAGAAACAGAAAAAGTTAAAATCACCAAGGTGTTTGATTTTGCTGGTGAAGTCAGGGTGACTAAGGAAGTGGATGCTACATCTAAAGAAGCCAAATCCTTCTTCAAGCAAAATGCGAAAGAAAAATCCCTAGGCTAATAATGTCCCTTCAGCTCTACCGTCACTTCCTGCCGGGTCAGGGTTAAAAAGGTCAAGGGGCATGAACAGCCTTTTGGGGAAAATAGGAGCCAAGAAGCAGAAGATGAGCATCCTAGAGAAGGCCGAGCTGGACTGGGAGAGCTTCAAGGAGGAAGAGGGCATTGGTGAAGAACTAGCCATCCACAATCGAGGGAAGGAAGGGTTCATTGAACGGAAAGCTTTTCTAGACCGAGTGGATCACAGGCAGTTTGAAATCGAGTGATATCTCAGGCTGAGCAAAATGAAACCCTGATGTGATGAGGAACCTACAGCAGCTTAATCCTGTTTACAACGTGAGCTTTTTGTGCGTCTATGAAATGTTTCCTGTGTTTCCCATTGACTGTTTCCCAGCAAGGTCTTTTTTTCTACATTGAATTTCTGTCTTTGTATCTTGATCTCGTGTGAGTTCAGTCATTTTACTTTTAATAGTTTGTCTTTTAAAAAATAAAAATAAAAAAGTACAGGTTGGTCCTGTGGTGGGGCGGGGGGGGCGGGAATTTCTCAGAGCATTTCAGGAACTTCCCGGGCAGCTACTGTATCTGCACTTGCTGCCTCACTGCTTACTTTTACATTGGCTCTAGCCCTGAACCGCTGAAACCAGCCATGGCTGGCATTAAAAGATGTGCCCTCTGATTCTTCACCACGTTTCTTCTTCAAGTCTTCATAAAGGCTTTAAACTTTCTCTTGAACCAGCATTAAGCTGAGCAGGACTCAGCGCTGATGTTGATCCTGCATCCGCACACTGAGAAGATTCTCTATCTCCATCACTTTTCCACGCTTCTTCGATATTATCGTTGACATCATCAGCACAGCAGACTTCACATGTTCCATGATCTTTTCCTTGTTCTTTAGAATTGTACTGATGGTTGAACGATTCATGTTATAAGAGTGAGTGACGTTTATTGTTTTTTCACCTCGCTCCACTATCTCAATTATTTTCACTTTTGTTTCCATCGTTATCACTTGGCACTTCTTAGCAGTACTACCTACATCACCGCTGCTTTTACGCTTGTTTCCGAACATCCTGGGCTTGAAATAAAGATACTGTACTCTATACAGTACTGTACAGTAAAGTACACAAAAGCACAAACACCTGTGGAGGATGCACGCATGTGACAATATATGCCAGACACGTGAACTAACTTATGTGATTGGACATGAGAACGCATGTTCGCATCTTTGAAATTTTGCAACTTGAAGGTTTGTATGTAGGGGACTTACTGTATGTAAAGATTTCAGAGGACAGTGTGGCCAGAGTATAGGGTATATGAGGATAAATATTTGGAAAAAGTGTTGTGAAAGTAGGCTGAGACCAAGCTATAAAAAGTCTTCTTGTCCATGTTAAGAATTTGGTTGGGATTTAATAACTGATTAGATATTGGCAGAGGAGGGTCAAGTAACTACGAGTTTTCCAGATTGGTTGATTGAGTAGATATAAGTCTATCTACCCAGAAGTATAAGTAGAGTGAATAGGAAGACTGGGCTTTTACTCAGAGAAAAGTATAGGAAAAATAGGCAGAATTCCAGGATAGAGGAAGAGATAACACTGGAATTTGTGGATTTAGGGTGTAAAGGAATCTGACTAAAGACACTTCCTCCATGCCCTGGTACACGCAGTGCTGCTCTGTTATCTGTGTTAAACTGCACTGTTAGTTCCTACTTCTTGTTGTCTTATCAATCCGATGACATCCAGGGAGATAGACAGTTGGCGAGAGCTATTAGGGGCAGATAGGCAGGCAGGATTTGGGCTTGGAAGGACACTATTACATAACAGGTGTTTCATAAATTCTCTGCTCCTTCTGCGGTATATCTCAATTTAGGGAATTTCTCTTCTCTTCCTCCCCGGATCTCACACTTGTTGCACTTCAGGAATTTAATTTATCCTCCCTTAGTTACACATCCTCTGACTACACTTAAGGAATTTGAGTTACTTCCTATCAGTTCTGAATCACCCTATTTGGCAATCTTGGAGCCACTTGAACATATTCTCATCTCATCACTATTATTTCCATCCTCTGTAAACAAGTCTAGTGTTTTCCCCAGGTTCATTCCTTCAGTTGCATTATCTCTTATTCATTTATTTTTTAAAGGTCCCAGATCCATCTCTCTTAGTATAAGCAGCAAAATGCTATGGAAGAACTCTTTGGAGAGGAAAAGGAATACTGGTTCTAGTTTTGCCATTGATGGCTATTCAGCTTTAGGCAAATGCTTTACCTCATTCAGCTTCTGGATCATAAAATACAGGAAGGCGCTAAAATAAATGTGCTTCGGAGACTTCCTATCCAAAATTCTATGACTTGCAGTTTGTCCTAGGTGGCCTGAGAGTCTACCCATCTGTTCTCCTTTTATGGGTTATGATTGTATCTTTATTATTGTATTTATGGCACTATAATTAAATAATCTTATTCATTTATTTAAGTAATATATATTTATTGAATTACTGCTGACTATATGCCAGGTACTGACAAGCACAAAGAAGAGAACAGTTGTGGTCAGTCCTTTTAGAGTTTACAGGGTAGCCAGGAATGTGATATGATGATATATGACTTGATGAAAGTAGCAGAAGATAAAAGTACAGAGTATTAAGGGATTCAAGAGAGATCTCTCCTACTCAGGAAAGCTTCCCTTAAAGGACTTTATGCAGAGCCCTAAAGGAGGAGAAAGGAAAGGGAAGAATGTTCCAGACAGAGGGAATAGCATGTTAGAATGCTTGGAGATGGGAGAGCACAAGGGTTTCAAAGAAGGTCAGTATAGTTGGAGAAGAACGAATGAAGGAGAAAGAAGTATACAGAAGCGGTCGTGTGGTCAGATTTTGTTCAGGGCATTTTGAGCTGTCTTAAGGTTTTAGATTCTATCCTGTGGGCAATAGAAAGCCACTGAAAAGTTTAAAGTAGGAATGTGCCCTAATCATATTTACATTTTGAGTTTCAATCTGGATTCATACTGATAATGAAAATAAAATAATAACTAATTTTTATTGCATGCTTACTGTAGGCATGGCTATAAATTGTCCTACTTAATCCTCACAGTAACTGTATTAGTTTCCTAGGGCTGCTGTAACAAATTGCAGCAAACTGAGTGACTTAGAGTAAGAGAATTTTTTCACAGTTCTGGAGGCCGGAAGTCTGAAATCAAGATGTCTCCTAGGTCATGCTCTCTCTGAAGGCTCTGGGGGAGAATCCTTCCTGGTTTCTTCCTATCTTCTAGTGGTTGCCAGCAATCCTTGGCATTCCTTGACTTATAGATTTATCATTCCAATCTCTGCCTTCATCTTTACATGGCATTCTTCCCTATGTCTCACATTTTCTTCCCTCTGTCTCTGTCTCTGTGTCCAAATTTCCCTCTTCTTATAAGGATACCAGTCATTGGATCAGGGCCCATCCTAGTGCAGTATGACTCCATTTTAACTTGACTACATCTGCAAAGACTCTATTTCCAAATGATTACATTCTGAGGTTATGTGTAAACATGACTTAGGGGGGACACAAACCTACCATAATAACATTAAGAGGTTAACCCAGGTGGAGATGTGAGGAAACATAGGCGCAAATGACTGGCATTTATAGAGGTTAGATTAATTAATGGAACCTTTTATTATTGTTGTTGTTATTAATATTACTTCTTAGTTGTTTTTTTTTTTTTTTTAAGTGAAAAACATGCATTAGCAGGTCTGGGCTGAGGACTCTCTGTTGCTAGGGAGAAATAGGTATAAAATAAGTGGAAATGAAATAATAATCAAGAAACACACTGTATACACAATTAATGCAAATATAAGTAGTCAAATAAATCACAAAGATGTAAGATTATTTCACCTGTTAGCCATCTAAAGCGAAAGGTGATATTTGATCCCAGGGTGAAGTAACCTGGCCTTGGTGTTATAGAGACACTGGGGACTGATTTTTCTTTTGATGATGGAAAAATTCAAGAGCATTCAGGTTAAACCAGGCCATCATTTCCCACGGATAAATCAGAATGTCAGAGAGAGGTCTAGCAAGTGCAGCAAAGTGTTTTTTCCTGGCTTGAATTATCCCAGTAAATATACATTCTACATTTTGCTTAGGTTGAGGGCACACAGGTAATTAATGGTCTTAATTTGATAGTGACTACAATTTGGATCATGCTTTACTCAACATTATTTGACTGAAACTGGAGGGCAACTGAAGGTGGTTTTTTTGTTTGTTTGTTTTTAAGGAAAATAACTTAATGAAACTTAAAAGGGGAAGGGAGTTCAGGATTGCTTCTTTCTAATGTCAAACATAATTAAAAATTTTTAAAGAATAAGGAAGGATTACTGAGGGAATTAGTTTTCTTTTTCAAAACACGGTGCCTAGCACATAAATTTTCAATAAGTATGTTGTAATTAATTGTACTGGAATATTTCAGAAACAGAATACAGCATTGGAGTCATCTTTATGTAGAAGGACATCTAAATAGGAGGATGAAAGTAGAAGGATGAACAAGATGATCATTCAAGATCATTTCCAGCTTTAGGAATATTTATAACACGATTTTAGAATGTTTAATCCAGCTGTAAATTCCACTTTCTCTAGTAAAGTGCTGTTTGAATTACTTATTTCAGACAGAGCTAATCAGGTTAACTTCTAATCATGTAATTAGAAATCAAATTAGCTATGGCTGGGAAAAGTTGAACAAAAAAACTCTGAATTTGTTTTTTTTTCGTTTTGGGGGGCTTATTAGTATAAGTCAAAGCTACAATTCTGGGACATGAAAAAGACCTTGAAATGTTGTTGTTGCCTCAGAAGAGTTTGGGACCCCCAGTGAGCATCTCTTAGAGTTTATCAGGGTTCTGTTGCTTTCCTCATATTAACTCCTCCAGGCAATGAGTAGATCATTGGTTTTAAGCAGTTACAATAGTGCTAAATTATTTCGTATTTTACTCTCCTCTTTTTTCTGTCCTGCATTCTGCCCTTCAGAAATAGGTGTCACACAGACCTGAATGTGTTAACATCTCAGTAAGTAGAAGTTTTGTGTCCTTGGGAAAGGACCTTGATCCCAACTTAATCTTAATTTCCTCCCCAATTCCTAATAAACTACTAAGCGCATAGTAAATACTCAATAATATTTGTTGAATAAATGATTTTGTGAAATGGAATTGACAGCGTATTTACCCCCAATAATTATTATGAGTAGTAATACAAAGTCACTGAGACTGCCACACACTTGTCAATCCTGTATGCTGTTAATTATTATATTATTAACTGGATTAATGATAGGACTGTGCTACCTTCATTCACAATTCAGTTTGAATGACCTAGTGTGAATAATCTACTCCAATAACCTCTTAA